TGCAGCTGGGGGGGAGACAGGGGTGTCAGGGTGGCACTGGGGGGCTTTGGGGGTCAGGGTGGCACTGGGGGAGGGTGGCACAGAGCAGGTCAGGGTGTCACCAGGGGCTCAGGATGTCACCAGGGGGCTCAGGGTGTCACTGCGAGGGGGTCAGGGTGTCACAGAGCAGGTCTGGTGTCACCAGGGGACTCAGGGTGTCACTGGGGAGGTCAGGGGGTCACCAGGGGTGTCAGGTTGTCTCAGAGAAGGTCAGGGTGTCACCAGGGGCTCAGGGTGTCACTGGGGATTCAGAGTGTCACCAGTGGGGTCAGGGTGTCACTGGGGGGGGTCAGGGTGTCACAGAGCAGATCTGGTGTCACCAGGGGCTCAGGGTGTCACCAGTGGGGGGGTATGTCCCCCTCCCCTCACCTGCTGCATGAGGTCGAGGAGGGTCTCGAAGCGCGCCCGCCGCTCCTCCTCTCCCTCGCCCGGCCGCTCGTCCTCCAGCTGCTGGCAGATGCGGCCCATGACACCGTGCTGCGCCCGGTACCGCTCGTACTGCTCGGCCGGCAGCGCCTGCCCGTGCCGCTGCAGCCACTCCGGGTACTGCGGGGGAACGGCGGGGGGGCAGACGGGACCCCCGCCACGTTCCCCTGTCAGATATCCCCCCCTCCAACCACCCACCGGACCTTCTCGGTGATCTCCTTGAGCGAGGGGTAGAGCACGTCCTTGGAGAGCAGGCTCTGCATGATGCTGCGCATGACGGGCAGGACGCTGCCCTCGCCATCGCCCTCCTCCAGCCCCAGGCCCTCCAGCGCCTTCGCCAGCTCCTCCTCCGAGGCCGAAGAGCTCTGCCAGGACACCGTCATCACGAACGGGACGGGATGGGATGAGGAAGAGGGATGAGACCCCCACGGGACGCCCCCTCAGGGGACCCCTACCTGCAGGTCAGTGGCGTTCTTGGCCAGGCCGCTCAGCGTCTCCTTCAGGCAGGAGGTGAATTCCTGCTGCGACGCGGCGTCACCGCCTGCGGGGACCGGGAGGGGACGGTGGGAAATGCGGGGACACCGGCAGGGGGACAGGGGGACACCGGTGGGGAACTGGGAGAAGCTAGTAGGGAGCAGGGGGACACTGGTAGGGGACGGGGAGACACCAGTGGGGAGATGGCGGACACCAGTGGGGGGACAGGAGAGGCCAGTGAGGAATGGGGGGATACCAGTGGGGAGCAGAGGGACACTGGTGGGGGACCAGGAGACACCAGTGGGGGGACAGGGGGACACTGGTAGGGGACACTGGTTGGGGGATGGAAGACACCGGTGGGGGTCCAGGAGACACCAGGGACCCCGGAGCACCCCACTCAGGAAGGGCCAGGGTCATGTCTTGGAGACCCCGCTCCTAAACGGGGGTCCTGGGGACCTGCAGGACCAGGGTGTCCCCCAAATTTTCCCCCCTCCCTGCTCCACCATGGCAGCAAGAAGGTGTGGGGAGCCCCCGGTACGGCCGGGGAGGTGCCAACTGGCCCCGGGCCACACCGAGAGCAGCTGGCACAGTGGGGAGCCCCCCGCCACCCCCACAAAGCCCCATCCCGCCCCATCCCACCCCATCCCACCCCCCCCGAGGCTGCGGGGGCCGATGATCCGGGCTGGCTCCCGGCACGGCGAGGGCTCAACCGGGACGCAGCGTCCTGGGGAGAGGGGAAGCTCTGGCGCAACCGGGGCAAGATGGCGGCCGCCCCCTCGCCCACCTCCTTCACACCCCATGGCGGTGCCGGGGGGGAAGATGAAAGGCGGGGAGGGGGTGTACCGCCACCCACTCACCCACTCTGCCGGCGGCCTCCGAGAGCTTCTGGAACTGCTGCACCAGGAGCGGCTCCTCCCGGGCCAGCTCCTGCATGGCCTGCTCGAACTCGGCGGCCGCCTGCGACGCCAGCTCCCCCTCGAAGAGCTCCTGGAAGAACCGCTCCTGCGAGGCGAAGAGGGAGGCCTGGGGGGCAGGATGGCGGGGGTGGGAAACGGGAGGTCACCCCCCTGGTCACCACCACCACCATCTCCCACCACCACCCCTCCCGGGGGGGCTGAGGGCGGCAGGGGCAGCCCCCCACCTTGGCGGCGGCGCTGGGCGAGGGCTGGGCCCCCCCGGGGGGCGGCGGAGGCGG